AAACCAGTACGCGGAGGGGGGCCGAACATTTCCCTGACGCCACCAGGGGAGAGAGGAGAGTAGTATTCATATTGTGTAATTGTGATGGGAGAGGAGGAGGAGGAGGAGGAGGAGGAGGAGGAGGAGGAGGAGGAGGAGGAACAGACGAGGACACGGAGGATGAGACGTCAGGCTTTGGAGGTATGTTGTTGTGAGAGGTTCTTAGGGGCTTGGGGTCCCCGTGGGGCCTCTTGGGGCGCTCTTGCGGCTTTCTTGACGCTCGTTTTGGCGATTTTGGGTCCGTCTTGGGGCTCATTGGAGGGGTCTCGGAGGCCTCTTGGCCTTCATGGCTCGAAAAGAGGGGGTAGTCAAGTCAATTCAGGCCCCCACCTCGGAAACTCAAAAATGGCGTCTTGGCGCCCTCTGGGGCCGCTCTTGGGCGTCGCTTGGGCGGTCTGGGGGCCGTCTTGGGGCGCTCTTGGGCTCCTCTTTGGGCTCCCTTGGGCCATCTTGGGGTCATCTTGAGGCCTCAAAAGCCCATCCGAAGCGAACAAGCGAGAAGGCAAACCACATTGATTCTCCCTATGTGTGTTGCAGGATGTTTGCCTCTTGGACGGTGCCTGGGAAGGCTTGAAGGGCACTTGGAACCCTCTTGTGGCTGTCTTGGGGCCTCTTGGAGGTACATATGAGACTACATATAATCATCTTCGGCTATCTTGAGCCTTTTTTGATGCCGCCTTGGGCTGCCGAGAGCTCTCTTGGAGCCACCTTGGGCCCCTCTTGAAACCCCAACTGCAGGGCCCCCTCTCCCTTCCCGGGCCCAGGGTGCGGGGGAGGAGGAGGGGTGGTAAACCCTCCCCCCATTGCGGGGGGGGAGGCGTCGAGCAGACAAAACTCGTAAGACCACCTGCGCCCCGAGGGCTGGTGGGATCTGCCCGCAGCGGCGGATCCCAGGGGAAACCGATCCGAGCACGCACCCGCCTCCGCTTCCTGGGGAGGTTCGGAGGGCCTAGTCGGGCCGTGGAGGCTCTCTCGCCAGGCCATCCCCCTCCTCCGACGCCTGAGCTTTCCCTGCGATGTGGCGCCTGAGGATCTCGACCTCGTCCGGGGGGCCCGCTTGCCATCCCGAGTCGTTGTTCCACACTCCCGGGGAACGGGAGGCGGCCTCCAGAGGCCCACGACGTCCAGACGCGGGCCGTCGCAAGCTTTTGTGGTGTCGCCCGGATCTGAGGGTTCTCGACGTCGCCGATGCGTCTGCGATGCGGCTTGGCATCGCTCGGACGTGTGCATTTTTCTCGGCGGGGGCCATCGAGGAGCATCTTGGACCGTCTTGCGAAGAACTACACGCACGAAGCTGGAGCATGCACGAGGAATGGACGTCCGAGCGATGGCAAGGCGGCGGGATCCATGTGGGCTCCACCCGCTCCGGTCACATCTGGGAGGTCTGCCTGGCGCCGCCCTCCAGGGGGGGCGGGGGGGCGCCCGCGGCTCGCTTGCTGGCCGCCGCCGGCTTCCCGCAGTCTCCGATTCCTTATCGGTGATCCCAAGGGCGTGTGTTAGCCCAAGGTGCGTGGTACCCCGTTCGGCTGCGCCGATGGCACGCAGCCTGCGCCGGCCCTCGTTCCACTGCCTGCGTCGTGCTGAGGGGCTTGGCCGGACCAGCACCCGCTGGCGCTCGCACACGTTCTGAGGATCCTCGACCTCAAGCTGCTGTCGCCGCTGCGCCTCCTTCTGCTCCTGCTCCTGCTCCTGCTCCTCCTCCTCCTCCTCCTCCTCCTCCTCCTCCTCCTCCTCCTCCTTTTCCTTCTCTCCCTCGTCGTCGCCGTTTTTTTTTTTCCCTCATCCGCTCCCCGCGCATTTGGCTCCCGCCCCCACCCCCTGCTCCTGGTCCGCAGCGGCGCTCTGCCAGTCACAGGGTGGCCCCGAGGAGCTCAGGGGCGGGCAAAGGGGCCCTGCGACGGCGTGTTGGGTGGGGGCTTGTGTACTCATAACCACCGACGCGGGGTCGATCTTCGGGGACCTTCGGGGGTGGACAAACCTCCTACCCTGACACGTCGATTAAGGAACTAGCCATTATCGGTTCGCGAGAGGGCGTCGCGGCCGTCATTTTTGTGGGTCCAGGTCCGTCGGTTTCGGTCCCAGGCCGTTTTCACTAAGGGGAGGTCTACTAAAGGGAGGTTTGTCCAGCGCCGAGACCTAGGCGGGCGGTTGATCCGGACATATTCGGGACCCCCGGGGCCAAACGCCAAACTGTATCCATATCCGGCGCCCGCCGAGGTCCCAGCCACTCTGGACTCTGGAGGGGCTCTGCTTTTCGGGCCGTTCTGTCGATTTGGGTCGTGGAATCTGTCCGTGCCCGATGCTCGCCGTGGTCAGAAACGCCTCTTAGCTCTTGAGTTAGCGTTCCTGAAGGACCCTTACAGTGGAGACCCATGCCAAGAAACACCCTGCTTGCCTCCAGGGTGCCCTGGGTTTCTTGGGTTTCGATGGTTTTGCGATGGAAAGCGCGACGTTCCCACGCCGAGAATCGATGGACGCCCTGGGATCTCAGGGTTGTGTTTCTTGTGGAAGGTTTCTTGTGGACTGGCCTCCACTGTATTGTGGCACGATGACTGCGTGGACACATCCCCGCCGCGCAGTCTTTGCCTCCGTGGCCAAGCTCGTTTATAAGACCGCGGCAGGGCAGCACCAGGCCCCAGACCTCCGACATGTCGTGATTCACTCCTGGGCCCCGGGGCGTTCCCAAGGACCAGTCTTGGATCCCTAGTCATCCCTTTGTTTGTCCCAAAAGGGGGTCCCGTTGGCATGGGGGTGGTGCAATATACTTTCTGCAATCGATTTGTGGGGTTGCAATCGATTTGGGGCGTGCAATAAATCTCGGTGCGCAAATGTATTGCTGGACTTTCGCGTGCAGTGTATTAGCTGCAGTCCAATGCATAGCAATTCTCTTGCGCGATACAGTTGCAATCTTATTGTCCCGCATCTATTGCACCACCCCCTTTCAGCTGGACCCCCTCTTGGGCCAACCAAAATCTCGAGTAGGAGATCGACGTGCACCCAAATTGAAATGTCCGCACGGATCTGCGACAAGTGCATAGCATGTTCGTGTAGCTTCGAACATAAGACGTCCTTTTGCAGATGCGACGAAGCAATTCTGGGGCACGTCCACCCTGCAGTCGATCTCCCACTCGAAGCCTTGCATCCCTAGTCGTCGGAAGAGCCCCTGGGGGCCCGAACGGGCGCGAGAAACTTCCGGGGCCCCTTTCGGCGACTTGCAGGAGTGACCCTTCGCCGGAGGGACCTCTGGTGTGGGCCTCCCGGGGTCCCCCTGGCACTGGCCTGCGCACGCGGAGGTGGCCCCCCCGTCGCCCCCTCCCGTCCAGGGCCACTCCTTGCGCTTGGCATCGCTCGGACGTGTGCATAATTTTCCTTCGGCGAGGACCATCGAGGAGCATCCCTGATCATTAATGGCGAAGAAGCCACGCACGAAACCGAAAAAACACAGGAAATGGACGTCCGAGCGATGGCCCCTTCGCCCGGGACCCGCTTCCCCCGTGCGAAGCGTCCAGCGGGCGCGGGGCTCAGCCGCGGGCGGGCTCGGCCGTGCGGGCTCGGCCTGGGCGCCCCGCTCGTCCACGGGCGCCCCCTCCCCCCACCCTGCCAGCTCTGCGCCCTGCGGCTGCTGTCGCTGCTGTTGCTCCTCCTCCTCCTCCTCCTCCTCCTCCTCCTCCTCCTCCTGGGCTCACTGCAGCTCCTCCCTGTCATCCTCAACCGCATCCCTCGTACAGGGCCCGCCTTCCAGTTCCAGGCCAGAGCGGGCCCGCTGACGAAACAAGTTCGGTGCGGGCGAGCTCGGCCGACCGAAAGTACACAGTGAAAGAAGCATCAGAGTATAGTGAGAATCATCGCAGCGCTATGCAGCCGTTACCCGATGAAGAGCCCCTAAACAACGAGCGACAGGGGTTCCAATCATTCGCAAAAGCCATGTCGCACGACACATCGTCTCAGCAGGGGAAAATGCCCGCCGCGCAGGAAGGGCGGCAATCGGAGATTACACCTAAGAGTCTATAGGGTCAGTGGAAAGACCACGTTGTTCAACCATTTCTTTCCAAATTGTCTGGGTACCATTGCATATCGTAGAAAACAGCGAATGCGATAGGGGGCCTATCCGCATTAGAAGACCCCAGTTCTGATTTCCAGACTGCACAGCGTGCGCCACCCTTGAGAATGAGAAGCATGTGCCGCCGGCGTGACGCGCGATGCCGTCCGCGTGCTGTGCCATGCACCGTGTTCTAGACTGCGAAAAGTTTGCCGCGCGCGTGCCGTGCCGTGACGTGCCGCCCGCGTGTCGCGCCGTACGCGTACCGTGCCCGCTGCTGCGTTCCGGGGCGCGAAACTGAGTGCGGCCCGCGTGCTGTGCCGTGCGCCTGCGTGCCCTGCTGGCTCCTGCTTGCAGAGCGCAGGAAATGTGTGCTGTGCCGTGCCCTACGGTGCGCCTGCGTGCCGTGCCGCACGCGCGGTTTGCCCGCTCCTGCGCTCGAGAACGCAGCAGTCAGTGCCGGCCGCGTTCCGTGCCGTGGCGTGCTGCCCGCGTGCCGTGCCGTGCGGCCGTGCCGCTCGCGTGTCGTGCCGTGCCGTGCCGTGGTCGGATTGCAGATGGTGTAATTCACCGCCCAGGCGATCCACGAGCATGTTGACGTGGATTCACCATGTGTGTTCTCATGTAGCGTTGCTGTTTGGGGCCTTGTCGCACGGTGTAATCTAGGAGCGGGCTGCTGACATCCAGCATGCGAAGGATGTGCCGTCCGCGTGCCGTGCCGTGCCGTGCGCGTGCCGTGCCCGTTTCGGCGTGGTAGGGTGCGGCAGCGTTGTCTTGTTTATGTCTGCCACTCGCCTGACCCTGCTCTGAGCGGGCCCAGCTCCTCCCTCTTTCCCCGCCGCCGCCAGGCGCCTCCTCCTGCTCCTCCTCCTCCTCCTCCTCCTCCTCCTTCTCCTCCTCCTCCTCCTCCTCCTCCTCCTGCATGGTGGCCTACTTCGCGCTCAGTGCGCCCCACCGACGCCTCTTTTCGCCAGCGCAGTGACTCCGCCTGGCCGCCGGCGCACCAGCGTGGCAGGGTGGGACAACCACGAGCCGCCCGCGTGCCGCGCCGGGCCGCCCGCGCGCCGTGCCCTGCGCGTGCCGTGCCGTGCCCCCGCTCCAGCGTGCGGCGAGCGTGCCGCCCGCGTGCCGCGCCGTGCCGTGCCCGTGCCGTGCCCGCGCTCTGGCGTGCTGCCAGGTCCCTCTTGGAGCGCCTGGAGCGATCAGGGAGCGTCCCAGCAGCACAGTCTGCCGTGCTGGGGTCATTGCCCTGGACGAAGCCTCCAGGGCAGCCAAATCCGTTCTCGCCCAGCAGATCACGACAAGCTGAGGCTGCAAGTTTCTCTTGAGCTTGGACGAGGGAACAGAAAACGTGTCCCAGCAGCCGGGTCCCGGGCCCGAGTCGTGAGGGAGGCCCGGCGCCAGGTGGCCCGAGATCAGGAGGGGAAAAAACACACACAGACACAATGACTCGTCGATCCCTAGGAACATATTGGGAAAATATGGGAATTGGGCGGGAAGACAAGAGCCCATAAAATTTGGGAAAATATGGGGAATCATTTTATTTGTGTGTCTTTGTTTGTGTGTCCTTGGGCCCCATTGACGAGAGCCCGCGGGGCGCCCCTCGGGCCAGCGGCGCCGTGGCCTGCTCTTTCCGCGCTGCTGGCCGCTGCGGATGCCTGGTTTCTGGCCTCTCGATGCCCGCCTTGGGCCCCTGGTCGGGGGCGGCAAAGAGGGGGGTGATGACTACGGGGGGGGGGGGATATAATGGCGTGGGCCATGATATCTCCCCAGATTTCATGGCGCCCCTTCTTATTTCATTACGTCCCTGGCCCCCCCGCTGCGCACATGCCGCCGGTCATGATTTGCACCCCCCCCCCTCTTGGCCGCTCCCGACTCTGGGGCGATCAGCAGTCGCACGCGACTTCTCGCCCCCAATCCCCGGGTTTCGCTCCGTTTTGGACGGTCCCTGGTCCTGGCGAGGGCCCCCCGAGGCCGGAACTTGCCAGGACCCTCCCGTCGAGGTTTGTCCATCCAGCCGCCTCCGCAGCCCTACCCCGAGGACCTGGTCGAGTCGCGTTGGCGGCAGTACGCTGCGCGCACCGTGGAGATCGTGGACGGGCTGTCGCTGGGCGAGACGGCTCCCGGGGGCGAAAAACAGATTCGTATCCGCGGCCTCGCGGTCTGGGCCCCTTTTTCGCGGATGCCCCGCGCGGAATGTATCCGTAGGCCGCGTACGGTAGGTTCGCGTCGTGCCGACCGGCGGCGACCCCTCCTACTGGTGTTCAACGTTGAACGCCGCCGGCGACCGATCCGACGTTTCGGAAACGGCGGATCTCTCAAGGTTCAACGATCCCCGCGATGTCAGCAACCAACGCCGAAGTCGGCACGACATGAACTTGCCGTGCAGTGGGGGCCCGTGCCAAGAAACACCCTGCCTGCCTCCAGGGTGCCTGCCCTGGGTTTCTTGGGCTTCGATGGTTTTGCGATGGAAAGCGTGACACTCCCACACCAAAACTCCATGGACGCCCTGGGGTATCAGGGTTGTGTTTCTTGTGGAAGGTTTCTTGTGTCTGGACGCCCGAAATGGGTACGGAAGGAATGGGCACAATACAATGCCCAACAGCAGTTCCTGTTCATTTTGCACCGGATTCGCTGTCCACGCCGCCGCGGCCTGTGTCCATTCGAGACAGAAGGCCGCCTGCCCAACAGCGGCCGCTATTGGTTTGGGGCAACATTTGTTGTTGGGCATTGTACCCATTCTTTCCGTGCCCATTTCGGGCGTCTTGGGCATTGTACCCATTCTTTCCGTGCCCATTTCGGGCGTCCAAATTGTGGTCGGGCCCCTACCGTATCCGTGGGATCGCGCACCAGGATCCGGGCCGCGAGGGCGCGGGCACGGAGACGTGCGCCCCCGCCCGGCGAGGCGCGGCTGGCGTCGGCCTTCTCGACCGCGCGCTTGCTGGACTTCGGCCTCATGGAGCCCCTGCCCCTTGCCGGGGGGTGCACTTCGCAGGCCAGCCACAGCTGGGGGAGCTGTGGTCCTTGTACCCCCCTGGGGGACCCATCGATTTCGACACCCCTCTCGAGAGATCGTCGATGCGATAGGTTCCCCCAGGGGGGTGAGGACCACAGCTCCCCCAGGTTATGGCTGGTCGGATTCGGCGGCGCGCCTGGGGGGGAAGGGAGAATCCGAACGGCCGAAATGAGTACGGAGAGGATCGGTACGATGCCCAAGCGCTGCTCCTGCTCATGTTGAACACGAGCTGCTGTCCTCGCGGCCGCGGGCGTGGTTCACCGGAAGACAGAGAGCCGCCTGCCCAACAGCGGCCGCCGTCGACTTGGGACAACAGGAGCTGCTGGGCACGGCGCCCATGGTTTCCCTGCCCCTCTCGGGCGTCCAGAATCGGGGGAGCGTAAGACCCGGGTTTGCCAGGACTCGGGTTCGCCATCGTTTTTTGACGACCGCGACTCGGATTTTGACGAGGAGGAGTTTTGTGGGATGTCTGCAGCGGGAGGCCTCGTCAAAATGCAGGCTCGGCCTCGTCCTTTTTTTGACGACCTCGTCGGGGATGTCCGAGTCCCCCGTGCCCGGGTCTCACGTCTCCCCGACAGAAGGGGAAGGAGAAGGCCCGCGCAGAGAGCTCGGAGGCCCCCCCGAGAGGGGCCTCCCGAGGAGAGCATCCGAGGCCGCCCCCCCCCCCCCCCCCCCCCCCCGACGGGGCGCAGACCGCCCCTCTCCGGAGGCGCGAGGGCCTCTCCGAGGAGCCCCGCCGCCGTCCGATCGAGGGCCTTCTCCTCCTCCCCTCCTCCTCCTCCTCCTCCTCCTCCTCCTCCTCCTCCCCCTCCTGGCTCCTCCTCCTCCTCCTCCTCCTCCTCCGCCTCCTCCCTCCTCCTCCTCCTCCTCCTCCTCCTCCTCCTCCTCCTCCCTCCCCCCTCCAACTTATGGTGGTGGTGGTGGAAAACAGGCCCATCATTCTCCTCCTTCGCTAAGACTTTTCTCCTCCCCCCTCGCTCGCCGCCGACCCCTCGGGGGCACCAGGCCCTGACCTCCCAGGAGGGCTAAAAATCAGGAGGGGAAGAAACACACAGACACAATTCATCGGCGACTCCCAGGAAAATATGGGAAAATATGGGAAGTGGGGGGGAAGACAAAAACCCAGAAAAGATGGGAAAATATGGGGGATCTTTTTATTTGTGTCTATTTATTTGTGTGTCCCAGTTCCCCTTCATAAAAAGAAGCACCAGGACGTCGACGCCCCGCTTCCTGTCGAGGCTTGAGGCAGCCCAGATCGATCTATATAGGTCTGGCGTGCTATTTCTTGGCCAGATGGGTCCATAGGCCTGGAGTGCTACCTATAGGTTTGAGGCAGTCCAGATGGATCTAGCGCTCTGGAAGGTCAGGGGAAGGGGGGGGGGAGGGGGGGCGACGGGCAGGCTCCGGGGGCGAGGCGCGAGGCGTTCGGGAGGAGGAGGCCCGGGCCTTCGAGGGGCCGCGGGAGGTGCCGGCGCTGCCTCGGCGGAGGGGCGGCGCAGGGCGGCCGACGGAGGGCGGCGGGAGCCGCATGGGGGCCACCTCCGCCGGCGGGAGCTGGCGGAAGTAAAATTCCTCCCGAGGTCGGCAGCATGCGAGGGGGAGGAAATTCAGGGGTGGGCAGACCCAACAGTGACAGGTGACAGGTCGATTCGTGAATTGTCCGTTGTCGGTTCTCGAGAGGGCTCCGCGGCCGTATGTTCCAGGCTTGCGCCCGCCAGGTTTGGGCCCGAGGTCGTTTTCACTGAACCACGTTTTACTAAAGGGAGGTCTGTCCATCCCCGAGAAATGAGAGAAGAAGGACTTCGCAGAAGGCGGCCAGACTTCTCAGAAGCCCTCGCGCCTTCCGAGAAGTTTCCTGCGTCTTCGGGGAGAGCTTGGACACTTTCTCAGAAGGCCGGGGAACTTCCGAGCCTTCTGAGAAGGTCTTCTCCTTCTCACTTCTCCCCCTCGCTCGCCGCCGATAAAAGATGGCAAGGTTTTTTGGCTCAGGTCATTTTTTTCAGCCCGCCAGGCCCCCGATCGCCCATTTCTCGCCTCGCCGATGGGAGTTTGCGGCTTCGCTATCGGGGGCCTTTCGCCGATCTATCTGGGATGTATCGCCGATTCCAGGTCGATGTTTCCACGCCTGAGCTGGTAACCCCATGTTGACGCTCATTCGAGGGTGTATGCGCATCGGTTGGTTAGAAGAAAACTGCATCAACATCAGCGTTCATAGATCGGCGCGGATTTCTTGCATCGGCGCTACATCCCCCTGGCGACGTCTCTGGCGCTGCCCCTTTAGCGCCCTCCCTGGCACCCTCCGTTCAAGCTCAGACCCGTGAATAAAAATGACGACGCGTGGTGTTCGGCAATGCTTGGCGTCTGGGGGCCCTTTCTTCAAGGGAGGAAAGACCACCCAGACCCGACAACTGACGTGTACTAAACGGCCCTGGGCGTTTACTAAACAGCCCTGTCCTGTTCGATTCCTTCCGTGGGTGCGTTTACTAAACGGCTTCGATTTTTTGGGTGGTTATTCTATTCAGGAGGGGAAGAAACACACAGACACAATTAATCGTCGATCCCCAGAAAAATATAGGAAAATATGGGGAGTGGGGGGGAAGACAAAAACCCAGAAAATATGGGAAAGTATGGGGCATCTTTTTATTTGTGTGTATTTATTTGTGTGTTTGTGGGCCCCTTCATATATGTGGTGGATGTTCTGCCCTTTATTACTGGGCCTCGGGACCGCTACAAAACGACTCGGGGACCCACGTTATGCACAAATCATGGCGCCGGGGGTCTGAGACGGTGTCCGCGGTTCGACTGGTTCGGCTGCTCCGCAGGCGGTTGCATTCGCTCGGTGTGGTTCGATCGGTTGTTGTGCCGCTGAGTCTTTCTAGGCTGGTTTCGTTTCGGTCGGTCGACCGGATTGTCTACACCCTGGAGTTTGGATAAGAGAGTGTCGATTACGAATTAGCCCCGCCGATCTAGCAAGCTGGGCCTGCTCCCCGGGCCTTGGGACATGTCCGCATTGCCGGCCGTGCAAGGGGCTGAAACTCTGAAGCCAGGGCTTCAAGGTCCACAGCCAGGAGCGTGCCTGTTCTTCCCAGCCCTCGCCCCTCCGCTTCCCCACCCTTTTCGTATCCCTTCTTCCACTTTTCTCTCCAGCCGCTGGCCCATACGAGCGAGGGCAGGATGGGGACGAGGAAGAGGGTGGGCAGATCCGCAGCAGAACGAGGGGCGGGAGGGGGAGGAGCAGGAGAAGGAGGAGGAGGAGGAGGAGGAGGAGAAGGAGGAGGAAGAAGGGGGAGGACGTGAAGAGGAGGAGCAGCTGCAGTAGCAGCAGCAGCAGCAGCAGCAGCAGCAGCAGCAGCAGCAGCAGCAGCAGCAGCAGCAGCAGCAGCAGCAGCAGCAGAAGGACGAGAAACAGGATGACTATCACGAGAAGCAGCAGCCGCAGCTGGCGGAGGGAGGTGGGAGAGCCAGAGCTTCAGGAGGGTGAGGTTGGGGAGCTCATCTCCCAGAGGCCAGCCTGTCCTCGAGAGCCTTGGAGCGCGGGCCTCAGCCTCGCCGGGCAGGGGCGTCACAGCCTGCAGTCGCGCGGGGCCAACCGCCCATAGCTGGCAGGATCAGGGCGACACGTGTGGAAAGGGCCTCGCCTTCGAGGGACCGAGCGAGTTGACATCTCATCTCTTCCTTGGTCGAAGGCCGGCGGAAGCAAAACGCGGGGGCCTCCACTGGCGGAAATTAGCGGAAGGCTGACGATAGCTGGCGGAAGCAGCAGGTGCGTCCCCATTCTATTTTGCCTTGAAGTCCGGGTTTGGGGATACCGCCACACTGCAGAGCACGAGAGAGGGTGCAGGAGCATGGGGGAGAATGAGAGGGGGGAAGTGCCAGGACTCAGCAAGTGATGGGGGGCAGCGAACTTGGATGGTTCATTGAGCCTTCGCGGCCACATCCTTACGGCGTTGATGTGTATGGAGGGTGCGACACCAATGCTTGTTTCACCGCGTACAACCTGGAGTAATTAGGGAAGACGAGTGTGCAGCATGAGGAAGGGGTGGTAGATGAGACTGAGAACGCGGAGGTGGATGGCAGAACTTCCAGATAATGCAGATGGCTCCCTCGCGGTCGCAGCATGAATCGCTCCTGGCGTTGTTTCCATGTTTCGATCTGAGTTTAGCATGCGGTCTGCGGTGGAATACCTCGTGGAGGTACTTCGGAGATGTAAGACATGTTTCGGATGTCAGAGCCAACTGCATGTGGATAGCCCTTGGGTGAGAATATGGAAGATCTCGCAAACAGGCTGACCGCTCAGAAAAGAAAGGGCACCTTCGGGGATACTCCCCAGGGGGGCTATTCGGACACACCCCATCGTATATCCCCGAGTTGGGGCCCAAGTGTCTGGTGCAGTCGAAAGCCCCAAAGAGTCGGGCATGAGTGTCGCCGTACCCCTCGTTAGCAGGGGCGACTGGCGCGCCACGTGGGCAGCTCCTTTCTGCTGAGCCGACTGTCGCCCTGTCCTGGGACCGGGGGAAGACGCCCGCGATGAACGGATCACGAGCCCCGCTGCTCGAGGTGTGCAAGGCACCCGCGCCTGTGGACGAGCGCGAGGGGGCACCCGGGCCAGCCGCCGGGCTCGGGGCAGCGCGAGCCACGACCCCGCCGCCGGAGCGGCCGCACCCCGCTCCCCGCGGCGCGCACGCACCGCGGCCCCGCGCTCCTCCGGGCCTCTCTCCCCCAGGGGGGCCCTCTCTCGCCGCCGCGGCTGGGGCCGGCTCGGAGCACGTGGCCGGGGTGGGCCACGGGAGGGGCGCCCCGGGGGGGGGCCCTTGCGCGGAGGCGGCGGCGGCGGCCCCGGCCCCATCGCTGCTGCCCGGCCTCCTCTCCGTGGGGGGGTCCGCTCGGGCCGGGAGCCCGGAGCGGCCTCGGCCCTGGCAGCGAGGGCCGCTCCCCCCCCCCCCCCACGCCCTCCTCCGGGGCCTCGCCGGAGGGCAGCACTGCGTCCGACAGCAGCGACGCTCGAGCGCCCGATCTTCTTCTTCTTCTTCTTCTTCTTCTTCTTCCTCTTCTTCTTCTTCTTCGACGACGACGACGACGACGACGACGACGACGACGACGACGACCGCTCTCCCGAGGTGCCTTCGGGCGCCTCCTACTGGGGGGGCCCCGGCGCTCGAGAGGCCCCGAGGCGTGCCTTCGGGGACGGCGCGCGTCGCCTGCCCCCCCCCCCCCCCGCCGGAAGAGGGCCGCGGCCTCGCGGTGCGAGGCGGTGCTCGGCTCGAGCGTGCGCCCTGAGGTCCATGCGTTGCATTTTTTCACGCGGGTTGTTCAGCCACGCGCAGAGCGGGGTGGGGGGAGGGGGAGGGGGGAGGGCTTCTTAGGAGCACCCCTGCTTCTTAGAAGGCGCGGGCCTTCTCTATAGATGTAAGGCCGGCGCCCTCTAAGAAGCAGCCTCCTTCTAAGAAGCCCTCCCCCCTCCCTCCACCCCCTTGTGCGCGCCGCCAAATCCAGGCGTTGCATTTTTTCAAGTGGGCTGTGATGCTCCAACCTGCTGCAGCCCTGACCACCAGGAGAATCCCGAGCGCCCAAAAAGAAGTGCCGAACATCTCACGGGTGTTCACGCCTCGGGCCCCGGGAGACTCTCGCCCGACACTGTGTCGACACTGCTTCGACACTCTTTTTGACACCTTTCCGGGTGCTCGAAACTATCTCTGGGATGTGGTCCTTAAGTCGGATAGGAGCAGCATAACACACGGGGCGACCTCGCCCGGTTGCGGGCCCTTGTGCTACCACGCAGATCGATCCGGCTCGGGCGCTGCAGCAGGAAGACTGGGCCCAGGGCTCCAGTCGTGATTTCTACAATGCGTTGGGTCTCAAAGCAGGAAGCGCGCGCAGACAGGTGGCGCGAGGGGTCGGGGCGACCTCCCGAGAAGGCTGGGGGCTTCCTAGAAGGCAGAGGGCTTCTTGGACGCCTTCCTTCCCGGCTTCCAAGAGGCCTTCTCGGAAGCCCCAGGGCCCCTCGCGCCCTTCGGTGGTGACAAGCCCCCCACCTCGAAGGCCCCCCACCCTCGCGCCACACCCCGTGTGCACGCCGCTACAGAATGTGCACGCAGAAGCGAGAGACCCAACCATCCGACGATATGTTTTTTCCTAACCCATGGCCCCAGATGTATCGACCCCTTTCTCTTGGGGGTGGCAGTTTGTCGCCGCGGACTGATGCTTAATGGCCCTGGGGCGCGAAAACGGTTTCTGGAGACCCCGGGATATAGGACAAAACGCCCTGATTCAAACTCGAGACGTCGGAGGTCTGGGGAGGACGTGTACACATAGATCGGATGAATGGGAGGGGAGGAGGAGGAAAGATGCGGAGACGAGGGGGAGGAGTTGGAGGAGGAGGACGATGATAACAAGGAGGTGGAAGGGGATGAGGAGAAGAGAGGGGGGAGGAGCTGAAGGTGGAGGAGGACGAGGTGGAGGAGGAGGTGGAGGAGGAGGAGGAGGAGGAGGAGGAGGAGGAGGAGAAGGAGGAGGAGGAGAGGGAGGAGCAGGATGACGAGGAGAAGCAAGAGGAAGAGGAGGAGGATGACAAGGAGGCGGAGGAGGAGAAGGAGGGTACAGGAACCTCCTGGTAAGTGGTGCTGCCATCCAAGATCCTGACACCCGGATGTACTCGTAGGTTCTCAGAGGCCCCCGAGGCCTCCAGAGGCCTCCGAAGCTCCGGCAAGGGCCAAGAGCGTACGAGAATTCCCCCACGACCCTCGAGGTTCGAGGGCAAAACTTGGAAGTATCTTCCTTAGGTGTTCGATCATGGACCGTTGTGAACCGCAGCCGGCCAGCCTCTCGCGCCGAGTACCGCGAAGAAGACCACCCGACACCGACGCAGACCGCCGAAGCCCGCCGAGGGCCGCCAGAGGACCGCCAGAGACCGCCGAAGGCCGCCCAGGGCTGGCGGGTAGCAAGGGGGTCCATCGTCGAATAGTTACAGTGGGGGCCCATGCCAAGAAACACCCTGCCTGCGTGGATGCCGGCGTCCACGAATTCAACTCTCTAGCTATTTGTCGCCCGTGACGAAAGGTCACCGGTGCCATCGGAGGTCATTCGATTGCTCGCTCACGTGGTGATTCATGGAGTTTGGGTTCTCTGACGCGAAAAAAAAAAGAAACACCCTGCCTGCCTCCAGGGTGCCCCAGGTTTCTCTGGTTTCGATGGTTTGGCCACGGAAGCCGTGACGTGCCCCCACACCAAACACCTGTGGACGCCCACGGGGTCTCAGGGTTGGGTTTCTTGGGGAAGGGTTCTTGTGGTCGGGCCCCTACTCTACGTAACCTCCCCTCCCTGCTCCTCCCCCCCACACCGTCTCGGCACTTGAGGTGCCTCCGTGCGGAGCAGGGCGCTGGCGCCGCGAGCGCCACCGCGGCTGACGCGCGTCGCCTCGCGATGGCCTTCGGGCGGGCCAGGGCCTTCGACAGCGGTGCCCTCCAGGGAGTCGCCGCCGCCGCCGTTCAGCGGGCGAAGGACGGCGTAAGCAGGAAAAGAACATGCAGTACAGACGTGACTAGATTTTCGGACTCCGCGCAGACCATCGAACGTGAGGGTTTCTGTTGCTCTTCTTATTTTACGAGCGTTTCCGCCATCGAGGGCGACTGCCCCATGGCGTCTGGAAAGTTTCTGCCCTTGCGGTGCCAGCGTCAGGACATAGGGTTCCCAGCCGCCCTGCGACAGGCGTTCCTGATGGCGGAAGAGTTTCTGTTACACCGTTCTTCGTCTGTCTTCGCTGCCAGCGTCGTCGCCGCCGTCGTCGAGGATCGAGCGACTAGCCTCGAACCTTAGTTTTAATGTCGGGTTTTGCCCGTTGCGGGGCCTCAGTGGGGCGCCGTCCTTGCCGCGGCTGGATGGGCTTCGAACTCATGGTCGGGGCAGGATGAGGAGTACATACACGGAGGATGAGCACAAGGAGACTAAGACAAGGATGACGAGGAGAAGGACAAAGAGGAAGATGAGGGGGAGGAGGACGGGGGGGGGAGAGGAGGAGGAGGAGGAGGAGGAGAAGGAGGAGGAGGCGGAGGAGGAGGAGGAGTAGGAGGCCGGAGGAGGAGGAGGAGGTTGGCAGAGGAGGAGGAGGAGGATCAGGTAGAGGAGGAGGATCATGATGAGGAGGAGGAGGAGGAGGAGGAAGATAAGCAGGATGAGGACGAGCGAGGAGGAGGAGGAGGAGCGAGAATGGCAGAGACGAGCCTGCCTCTCCGTCCTGTTGTCGTCGCGTTCCCATGGCGGTGCACACCCGCCAGGGTGCGAGCTTCCCTTCGGCTTCGCTATCGGACGCGCCGGGCACCGCCGCCCTCTCCATTGTCCATGGCCCTGACGGGGTCGGGGGAGAGGGTGCCGAAGCGCGTTCGGGCTCACCAAGACATGAGGTTGCAAACCCGACCTGTATGGCTGCTGCGTTTTGGGGGGGTTATGTTATCGCTTCCCCTTCGTAGCGGTTGTAATGTGTGTTGGTTGTCGATTTGTATCAGATGTGGATTATTCATCTGTTCATTCCTGAACCGCCACCGTTTCATTTCAAGGAATGGTGCCGATACGGCGTTACAGCGGAACTCGTCTTTCATAGACCGCACAGAGAGCGACCTCCCGATACGAAAAACATCCTGCACAGTTGTCCCTTATGGTGTTGCCAGATTGAGCTATTGTGCTTCAACCTCTCGGCGATCCTGGATCTCACTCGGGTATCCGTTCAGAGTCCAGAAGATTGGTTACTGGCCGAAAGGATTGAGGCTGAAAGCACACATGGCTATAGCTACTGAATTTGCCGGGGATGGCCCATGACCCGTCCTGCTTGTTTCCGATGTCGCGGCCCCAGGTACAAGCCCTGTACAGCATAAAGGTAGCGGGCGATGACCACCCCCAGAGAGCATACCGTTGCGGTATATCATATGACTTCCCCCGCCGTTCTGGTGCTACGACGCCGGGAAGCGCGTCGCAGGTGACCTTTGAAGTATATTCTGGAGCTGCAGAGTTCACCGCTTGGCCACTTGCGTCTAGAGTCGCGAGGTCCTTCTCTTGCTGGCAGTAGGTCTTGTTCAGGCGACTTTCTGTGGGCGTCAATCCCTGGATTGATGTGCCCCGGTTGGAAAAATTGGCCTTGTATATTGTTGCAAGGGAACTGTGATTGGGCACACCCCAGATGAAGCGACCTTGATGAGCGACCGCTTGACCCCGAGAAGCGGGTCAACACGGGCGGCATCCCAATTTCCAGGAATTGTTCCGAAGACGGTTGCAGAGTCCACCTTTGGTAAGACAGCGCCAATTCTGAATCGGAAAGCCCTCAACGATCTTCACCGGCCAAGGATAGCCAAACTCGGACGTCATGCAGAACGTACCAGATCAATTGACGGGAAAAGCACCCGTCAGCCCTTTAGCGCCTCCTCCTCCGACGAGATGCAGGGCTCCAGAGCTTGGAAGCGCGAGTGCCCCAAGCGAAACACCGCCGAGCACGCCGTGTATAAGTCGGCGTCCACGGGTTCGAAATCTTCCGTCGGGTTGGGGTCCCGTGTCTCGAGACGTGGGTCGCGCAGTGTTGAAGGTCCAGAAGGTCATATTATCATATTATGTCGATTAGAAAGTTACCGCGATGCGCGAAACTAATTTTGCCCCAAGTGTCGCGAAACCGTTTGGATCTACGGCCCAGCTTGACATGTTCCCGCGCGTGTCGCGACACTCAGTTGCCCGAGGTGGTTGCATACTTGTTGCGTTGCTCAACAATCCGACGTCTCGACGAGCCTTTGCACAAAGTCCGCAGCAATCAACAATCCGAATGAACCGAGATTATATATCTTTTCAGTCGCAGTGCCAAACGGGACCCGCCAGAATTGTTGGAATCCTGCCAGCAAATCACATTGTTTTGATGGCCACCAAGGTGGCGCGGGGCGCGCCCCAGGAATCACCGCTCGAATCGATGCTGCAAGATTCTGCTAGGGGCACGGGCCCGGAAGAGATCGGTGGGCTTCTCATTGGCAGTCCAAAAAACACATAGAAGGATCGCGCTTTTAAATCCTCTGGGCCATGCCGCGCGTTCTGCGCCCCCTTCCCTCCCCCACACAACGTAACGCTCCCCCTCCCCCGTAGTGCGCCTCCGGCACTGCCATTCTGCTGCTCGCAGGCTGCTGCGGTGCGTGCAAGCTAATTCAACGTTCGCGGTCTAGCGTGGCTAGCGTGGCGTTAAGAGGCGCATTGCCCGTGCTCGCAGACATGGTGTTGCGCTCGCAGGCTATTATAGTCGCAAGTGTAGGGTCCGGAAGTTTTTGCGCACGCGCGCGAGGTTCACCCGCTACTCTGGTGCTGACAAGGCCAAGAGTTGCGGTAGTGGCATTGGTAGCAGAAGTAGTGGCAGCAGTCGCAGCAATAAAATTTAGATCAAGAGGAGGAGGAGGAGGAGGAGGAGGAGAAGGAGGAGGAGAAGGAGTTGGAGGGGGGAGCCAGGTGGGATGTCCTTCTCATCGTCGTTGTGGTTGTCTCGTGGTCGTGGTGATCGTTGTTGTGTTTGTCGTAATTGTTGTCGTTGTCGTCGTCGTCGTCGAAATCGCCATGGTCGTCGTGTTCATTCTGGTCGTAACGATCGTCGTCGTCGACGTGAGGTCGTCGTTGTGACCGTCGTCGTGACAGTTGCAGTCGTCGTATTATTCGTAACCATCGCGATCGTCGTCGTAGTCGTCGTGATCGTCGTCGTGATCGTCGTCGCGGTCGTCGTCGTGGTCGTCGTCGTGTGGTCGTCGGGATCGGAGTCGTAGTAGTCGTCCTGGTTGGCGTTGGCATCCTGAGTGTGGTTGTCGTTGTCGTCGCGATCGTCGTCACGATCGTAGTAGTAGTAGTAGTAGTAGTAGTATTAGTAGTAGTAGTAGTAGTAGTAGTAGTAGTAGTAGTAGTAGTAGTAGTAGTAGTAGTAGTGGTAGTAGTAGTAGTAGTAGTCGTAGTCGTAGTCGT